AGTACGTATACATACGTAACGAAACTAATGACAATGACTTAACGTTAACTAGCAAACATTCCCTTGTTAATTGACAAATCTATTAACGCGTTAATGTGTACCGTTACGTATTATAATCTGTACGAAAATAACAAAAAAGAAAAACGTTGTATAGTTCTTCATTGACATAACGCAACTGCTTTTTATTTCAAATAATTATCATTTTATGCAACGAAATCAGTATATGTATATAATTACACGTATATATGTATACTAACGCGGGGAACGAGTTTGCTTTAAAGCCGAACTTCCAATCTTAGGATGATGTGAAATTAATGCACAATATTTAGTATTCATTTTAATTGCTCGCTACGACAGAAGATATTTACGTAGTTTCGATATTAATATTATTTTCAAGTATTTATGAAATACATATAGAGATTTGATTAGGCAACGTACATAATTATTTACAGTGACACATTTCAACAATCAGTCTGCCAGAAATTAAATTTTATAATGGTTTAGTTTTTTCCATAGCATATTTATTGCTCTCATTCTTAGCTCGAAAATTAATATTTACGAAAAGTAAAAATTGAACACATTTAACGATACATTAATATATTAATGTGCTAAGGTATATATATATATATATACATTTTATGTGTTGTTATTGTTATAATATGGATTACCTACACGAAGGAAATGTGGCCATTTCAAGTAGGTATGTATGTACTTCAGTAATTTTTACTATCTCTTGTTGTCATGTATAAAGCATTCCAACACAAAATGAAAAAAGAAAACAATACATTACTATGTAATCTTAGAAGCTCATTTTAGCTTTTACAAAATAAATAATTCATTTTTGCATTTAATATATACCTACTTGTCTCTCGAACTTGTTTCACGAGTGTAAGATAGAAACTGTATGTTACTTGTAATTTTTAACGATTTTTCTATGGAAGGATTGTTAATATTTACTATTAAGTGTAAGGAATACTTGTTCTTGTGAAAAATAAAAATGCTAACATTATATTCCTATAAGATAGTAATATACATACTATACATACATATAATTGTACAATTAGCAATGTGTAAATTGCATTAATTTTACAACACCCTAATGTTGATTTGTGATGACAAATTATGATAAAAGCTGGCGAAGCTTTACTTGTCATTAATAATACTAAAACTTACGTTGCTCCAGTACCTATACCTATTCAAGAAACCACGATATATTTGTAAATATTTATGCAATGTATTATGAAGTAGAAAATAAAAAGAACTTGCATCAGGATAAGACACTTAAAATGAATCACAAAAATATTTGGATTTTGTAAATGGGAGCAAATCATTTCAAGTCGTTTGGTAGGAAGATAATTAATTCAGAAGTATGTATTACTAGTTTTCTTTGGAATTGTTTAGGAATAATTTTGACGTAATTTTTAATGATAAGAAGTTGTTTCTGTCTTCTATTCCGTGCTAAACAACTTTTATGTATACGCTTATTTTCGCAGACTGACTGGTTTGTTTTAAATGTCTGCATCCATATGCATTACGTATGCCTGTAACCACCTGTAATACGTTTGTATGTATGCATACATATGTGTATACAAAGTGGGCAATTTACCCAGAATAAGAATCTATAATTATGTAATCGAGACAGTAATCAATTTTTCTTACACTTTCTAGGTGATTAATTATTTTGAAATTTCATTCTTTCATACAGCCGCTTTTAAAATCCTTTTGTGTAACTCGACTTTATATCGCATTCAGTTGTTAAGGATGTATTGGCTATACAGTCAGTAAAAAGCTTTTTATACAGAAGTTGTAGGCACTGACATTCTTTACAAGAAAGGTTCTATGTATTTTTCTTCTAATTTAAGTATTTAACGAGTTATGTGCAGTTAATTGGCATTTTATTGGCATTGACGAAATCCGACCGTCTCACCCTCGAAACAGCCAACTTTTGGCAAAAAATTTCGTTTTTCCTCAATAACTCCTAAACCGTTGAACCTACGGGAAAATTGCATACGACCTTTCTTGTAGAGGACGATGAGATCTACAATTTCTGTATAAAAATTTGTCGCTAGCATTAATAGTTTACGAGTTATTGACGAAAAACGAAAAAATAGTTTTTTGCAAATTACTCGTTAACTATTGACGCTAGCAAGAAACTTTTATATAGAAATTGTAGATCTCGTCGTCCTCTACAAAAAAGGTCTGATGCAATTTTCCCGTATCTCCAACAGTTTGTGAGTTATTGGCGAAAAACGAAATTTTCGCAAAATCTAAAGGGGTACCCCTTGAAAAATCTCGGAAAAATTTATTTTGGTCAAAATATCGAAATATATTCTAAATATTTACTATTAAGTGTAAGGAATACTTGTTCTTGTGAAAAATAAAAATGCTAACATTATATTCCTATAAGATAGTAATATACATACTATACATACATATAATTGTACAATTAGCAATGTGTAAATTGCATTAATTTTACAACACCCTAATGTTGATTTGTGATGACAAATTATGATAAAAGCTGGCGAAGCTTTACTTGTCATTAATAATACTAAAACTTACGTTGCTCCAGTACCTATACCTATTCAAGAAACCACGATATATTTGTAAATATTTATGCAATGTATTATGAAGTAGAAAATAAAAAGAACTTGCATCAGGATAAGACACTTAAAATGAATCACAAAAATGTTTGGATTTTGTAAATGGGAGCAAATCATTTCAAGTCGTTTGGTAGGAAGATAATTAATTCAGAAGTATGTATTACTAGTTTTCTTTGGAATTGTTTAGGAATAATTTTGACGTAATTTTTAATGATAAGAAGTTGTTTCTGTCTTCTATTCCGTGCTAAACAACTTTTATGTATACGCTTATTTTCGCAGACTGACTGGTTTGTTTTAAATGTCTGCATCCATATGCATTACGTATGCCTGTAACCACCTGTAATACGTTTGTATGTATGCATACATATGTGTATACAAAGTGGGCAATTTACCCAGAATAAGAATCTATAATTATATTACATATTAGTCCCAAAGTAACTTTTCAGTTTAACTGTCGCACCTGTTACCACATTGACTGTCTAACAATAAGACTTATCCTGAATGACTTCTGAGCTGCGCGGTTTGCTTCGTGTTCCTCCACGCGTTAAAATCATCGGCGAGATTCCGTTTGCCGTTCACGTCACCGAGTTCCATAGATTTTGTACGTTTACTGAAGAGACTCGGGTTTACTGAAATTGCGATGATCTTAAAATCCCAATCTGAGAATGTATATGTGGTGTTGAATAAAACCCGCTGACCCTTTCTTCCATTTTCATTGAATTTAACATTTCTCATTTATTTTTCCTAAATTCCAGTGTACCTACGTATTTTAGAGTAGAAGAAATTGCGACAGTTAAGCGGAAGCTATATTCTTCTGCTTTAGTTGTATTAATGAAATAATTGTATGGATGATAAATTAATTACATGACTCCACTCTACGCATAGATGTATGCATGCGTACCTAATATATATAATTTGTTGTTGAAGAAAAAAATTGTAGAATAAATTACATGCGAATATAATCCGTTGTGTGGACATATATATTTACATAAGTACGTGTAGGTATAAATACGTATACATGAACATCAATATAGGTCCAATTAAAACTGTATCTGTATTTCTATAGATCTTGAACGTACGTTTAGATCTATGACGATTAAAAGAATGAAATGTTTGCGGTCAATTCAAGCGAAACAACTATTAAGTTATTCCCTCACAAGCTATTATTTAAGTACGTGATTAATTACCCCATAAAGTGGATAAAATAAATTCTGGTACGAGTTAATAAAATATAATGGAAATAAATGAAACGAACGAACGGTTGATTTTGGTTACAATTGTTTATTTTCATTGTCCTCTTCGGCTCCAATACATATAATACTTGATATATAATGATTCAATAATATTCATTAAATACGAAGTACGAAACCTATCTACGCTAAATTTGTCTACGATCGATACTTTTTCCTCATATATCGTCGATACAAATGAAACGTTCGGTAATATAAATTATAAATTGTCGTAGGTAGGTAAGCATCTTCATACGTTTTCAGCATTCTCTCTCACTCGCTCTCCCATTCGCGCGTTCTCGATCTCTCAATCGTGCAATCGCTCGAAGCGTAAAAACCGAACCTACCACGAGATAAAACGGGCCTCCTTCCTCGTAAAAAGATTCACAATAGAAATCTCGTCGTGGTTTATCTTTTATGTTTTTTCTTCTTGTTTATCTGACCGCTCGCGTCTTTTGTCGTTTATTCTATTACAAATGAAACCTTTCAACGAGGGAACGTTAAGCATCGACGGGAAGACCATAGTGAACTACGAAGGCGTTTATCAAACGAATTACATAAAGATCTTCAGATCAATACCTAGTTTCGTCAAGCAGTCGCGGCAAAGAAACGAATGCGAAGTTCTACTTTCACTTCGCGCATTGTGCTACGGCCACTCTTTATTATTACTTTTTATTTAGTTTAGTTTTTTCATGACAATCACAGCCCCACGTTGAACAGTCGAATGAAGAAGAGAAAGAACTAGCGACGTGATCGACACTTGATCTCTCGCCTCAGTCGATTGCATAGTAGAACTCGTAGATGCTCTAAAGATTCCTTTTACAATTCATGATTGCAATCTTAACATGGCGGAACGTGAATTTTTGGAAACAGAAAGTTGAATATCTTTTCTTTTAAACTGATGTTCTTATAAAATGTAAAGAAGTATTCGTAATCAGTATAAAAGAACAAATTAATAAAAACTTTATGCTGGCTTCATTTGTACCTTTAAGCTTACGTGATCTGTTTAGAATGTAAAGGGTACTGGACAATTTGCTATTCTCCTTCGAATTCGTTCAATTATTCAAGCAGCATACTCCCTATTCTTCACTGACGTAAGACTAGATTCATTCGCGAGACGTAAAATAGGACGCTATGCTAAACATCTCGAAATATCAGGGGAAGAAGTATTTCAACTAGAAAATCGTGTAAACGTAAATTCGTGTTTCTCTTCTTATCCCAAACGGGAGATTGTTTCTCGATGATGAAAACGACTTATGTATGTTCTCAACATGATTTCCTTCTCGATTCGTGCGAATGCTCATCGCGGATTGTCGATTACAATTGTTCGAGCGTGTTCGAAATTATTTTCAATTCTCGCGCCTAAGATCGTGTTTCAGAAACAATGTAAAAATTTTAAGTAAAAGGAACTTTGATCGTTGTGCAATTAAACGTCGGGAGTAAGATAGAAGAATTTTTAAATTCTGCGTTAAGAAAGAATAATTTTTTTAACAGAATGAGACGCGATACGAGTTTTACGTTATTGTTACACCGTTCGTCACTATCATGCTGGCCACGGTATGTTACGTTTCGTTAATGGGCTCGAAGTGGACATTTAGTAGGAAAAAGATTAGGCTTGACGCTGAAAAATTCCGATAAAACGAGTCACCTGACTGTTTTTAATAGCGTTACAAATAAAGTGATCGCAAACAGTATTGGCAATATTGGCATAATTTGTATATCATTTCTGCAAACAGTGAACTTTAATCCGTCTGAGAAATAAGTGTTTACGTATATTTTATCATTTTGTAAAATAGTATTTAGTCCATGCTTTATGAAACAAGGAAGCTTCCTATATAATTTCATTTGTAAACTAAGCACAGTGATGCCAATACTTATTTGCAGTCACTGCAAGAGAAGAGATTCTATAAATACGATTCTATACATACCTTAGAGCTACTAGAGGCAGCTTCCATACGTATAGAAAGTGTAGACAAATGCTGTTTTTTCTCCTTCGAATTATTTCAAATTTCAAAGTGCTTACTGATACGTAAGGAAGAGAATAGTTAACTGTGTCTGTGAGAGAGAGATAGCGTATAGCTGAACATTTTTAATCCGTCTACACTTTTAACGTTTAAGAAGCTGCCTCCAGTGGTATTTTACTCATGTCTGGTAACATACGCTCTAAGGTATATACGGTTCGTGCACATTTACATTGCATTTTCAATTGACCGTCTGGTGGATACTGTCACGTTTTCAGTCCCAAGAGAAGATTGCATATAGTTATGTATGTATATATATCGTACGTACTTCTTTCGATCTTTCTCTTTTGTAAATCGCGTTGTGCGACACGCGTTCAACGATAGAGACTAGAGTCGGAGAAATCGCAGTCGTGTCTTTGGCATCGTCCAGTCGCAATATTAAAATTTATATAGAAAAATCTATATCTTTTACTTCCCCGCGCTGTTACGCAATTTGTTTCACATTTTTTTAAACATTGTATAGCTTCGGATAAAACCGTCGAGAGGTAAAAGTTTACTGTCTACCTTGTTGTATGCTCTCTTTCACTTTTGTTTGTTCAGTTATTATATATTAAAAATGAAATTGTTCGACGTACATCGAGTAAAGATTTATCTACTGAACGAATTCTATTCCATGACCTATCGGTCTTTTTTTTTCCTCGTGAATATATTAAATCGCTATAAGCTCATAATAGATACTTGAAGAATTTTTTTTTATATACGTATTTGTGTATATTATACTTGAAGAATTATCCATTCATATTTCCAAACATGTTGTATAAAGAATTACACGTATATAATTGAAATGAGACGATCGAGTACTTTGGTTTGCTAGCTTCTTTTTGCCCTCTTCACTATAATTTATAAATTTAATGCGCTCGTTTGTTACACGTTTACGATTATTAATGTACGACTGAGAATCATTAACTGTATCATGAAATTCTTATACGAGCTGTTCTATGAGTGAGAAGAAAATATGAAGAAACGATAAAGTTAGTATTTGTGGCGCGACGTTTGCCAATTAATACGCTCTGTTCACTGTTAACTGTTTATGAAAAATTAGACTTGTTCCGTTTCTAATTTGTTTCTTTTGGAAGACTATTTTATACAAATGTACAGAGTTCTCCGAATTGATTTAGCGATTCGCACATATATTCTTAGTTTAATGGTAACAGCTACTATATTGTTCGTTTGCATTAGATATTTAATGAACAACTATCGCGCCAGCAAGACTAACTTTACTTTCACGTGATCCACGATCAAGCAGACGTTCAGCTCGACAAAAAATGCCGTCTTTTATCTATCCAGAAAAATATCAAAAATCTCGGGGGAGGGATCGCTAGATCGTCTATAATCAAAATACTGTTAACATGGGGGAATTGAATCGGGACCGCGTTCGAATAACGTTAAAAAATATACACGTTCTTGTCGTCGATTGCGCTATTTTCATTTGTCTTTTTTTTTTTCTCTCATCAGGATCGATTTGTTCGCCAACGGACGTGAAAGTAATTACCCGAAATTATTGTCATCGATATTTGTCTAGAATCGTTTCAACTAACGTAGGACCAACACATGTATGTATGTATGTAACGTCGGAACGATGTTTACTGCGAAGCACGGCACCTACACGATCCACTAGACTAGACCATTATAAAATGGAAAGACTACGATTGTAGAATTGTTATCTCCAGGCCGCGATCTGCCCAGGGAATCAATGACATTCGCTAGATACTCGGATGTTCGTTTAGTGATTGATCAAATAAATAAGAAAGTTTTTAGGGATAATAAATATCGTAAACCAAAAAATCTGTGTGGATCGAAGTAATCTGTTTGTATGAAATGTATCTATATTATTAAAAAGTGTTATAGATGTCAATGGAAAGGTGTTATCAATCAATTTTTAAATGAACAGCCGATCATCTACCTCCGAATTAAATTTTCTCATTTCTCAAATACTTGGTGCAAGGCTATTTTATCTTTTTTCATCTTTCATTTCTTAACTGAAGACTGAAGACAATGAAATATTGATCACCGGTAATATTACACCACAGGCACGAAATATTTCAACTAACAGTAGTCGTCGCTAATCGATAATAATATTATGTATATGTATATTACGTTAATATTAATATTACAATTTTTGCACTATGTACTTCGTTCGTTACCGCTAGCGTTGGATTTTTATGTTCTGTTATCTTTGTTCAGAGCACGAAACAGCCACAAAGCGAACGTCGTCGCACGGACATATGTTATCTCTCGCGTGCACACGTGTTAATCCCATGTAAAAACGTATTACATATGTAAGTACGCGTATAATTAGAAGAAGGTAGGCACAGTCGATGGCAACTATGAGCCGCTGTCTAGGCATGTCTCGCGCTCGCCCATTGCTTCGATTCCTTTCCTTATTCTTCTCAAATCGTCAACAAAATTCTATCTACAAGTTATCTAATTGCTTCAGACTTCGTCCTTTAAAAAATTTCGCTTGTCCACTGTCCTTTCCAAATAACATCTGTGCTACGAATTGAGGTAGAGTATAAATATACGACGAATTTGCAAATTTCAGGCTACGAGAGACGTTCGCAGCTTTGTGATTCTGCTTGACAAGTGACTGAACGAAAGAAGGGATCGAACCTATCTCCGGGATCGAACGCCAAGCTACCGTTTATCATTGCGATTCCTTATCGTTACTGTTATTGTTAACATACCTAACGACATTATTCGATACGACGGTACACTTATCAACCGACTTTCTATGCAACGACTAGGATTCGGATGAGCTAACGCGTACTATCACCACTGGTGTTAATGTTTAATATGCGATGAGAATTCCACCTTACATAGGAAACAACAAAGTCGATCTGACCTAAAACTGTGTCCACTAGATCTCGAACTTTGGACTGACCCTGGAATCGAGACTTGCAGGAGAATGTATCTACGATCTGGGAAAACTGATTTCATACTCGAAGTCAATTCGGCCGATGAGATCATGAACGTTTCTAATAATACGTCGAGAATCGACGAGACACTTTCACCCCAAGAAGAACCACCTTTCGCATCTCCAAAAGATCTGTCGAGTTTCGAGCGGACCGGTTTCTAGCCAATCGTTAACGATATCTATGAACCACTAATAACTCGACCCGGCAATGAATGATGAGAACTCAACGCTCGCGACGAGATTCATTCCCCGTTACACCTCTTATAAAATATTTGTGCTGTTTTATACAAAAAAACTTAAGCTTACTCCCTTAACGACTGACCAACACCATACGTAAATACGATAATGTACTATGCTAAAAGACCGCGGACAAAGTATGATACAGAGTTTGTACAAACGCGTCGAGCACGTGTGTTACAATGACACGTTGTTTGGAACAACGTCGGATATTACATTCCTGCGAGGTTACGCGTACGTAATTACACTCTAGGAACATCTCGAGGATCCGTCAACATCCCCTTGGATCGCGAGGCACTTGGGCCTCGTTCGCTGTCAACTTTGCTAATTTCAATCTCATATCGACCGTACGGGTCTTACCCGTCGACGAGGAGAAGGTCAATATCTTTTCACGAGACGATAATAACACATAGACTTGATTTTCATGCGAATTTAAAATGTAAAGACATTTAATCTAACGCGGATAATTCGCCTGTTTTCTTATACATTTAGATTTGTATTATAGTACTTTGACTTCCCACCACCGACGGATATGACCCGTTTCCGTCCACAGATTTCAGTGATCGTTACAGTGTTATGCATTCTTTGTGCCAACTCTGTATAATACATACAGAATCGATCTTCCATAGCAGTATTTATATTTATATCTATATGTATATATATATATATATATATATTTATGTATATCTGGTAAGTACGAGAAATGCATGACTGGTCGACGTAATGATTAACTCGCATGAAACTTATGACTTTATATGTACATACAAACGATCCTCGCGTTCTCGTCGAATACGAGAACATCGGTAATGAGCAAAAGTCGTTTGTTCTTTAAACGTCTTCGGCCGTAGCTTCGCGAAAGGAAGCTTCCTCGTCTGAATAGCGTAGGAAATCACCGGATGAAGCTCCGATATTAATACGAGCCAATAAGATTGGGAAGTAGTATATGCGAAATGCCCGCGATCTTCGACTTAACGTTCATTTCCACCGTGTATAAAAAACACCTTGATTGAACTGTTATATGTATTTATACAATTAGCGTGATTCCTCCGTAATTCTTATACGAGTAACGGCATGGGTTCATTATAATTATGCTCGGGCGTGATTTATTATTACTCTGACGTTTCTTAATTGATGAAATGAAATACGTATCAGTAGACCGCCGATGTTTGTTTATGCATTTGTACGAATCTCGAATCTTCAGAATGAATCGTTTAGGAAGTGAGTGGAAAATTTTTATTCGTATTTAAATTTCTCTCTGCGTTTATAAAAATGCGATTTACCTGTACATATGCGGTCTAGTGGTGACGTTCTCTTAATCGACTCGAGTTTCTGACCAACTCTAAACGTTTACGTGACTTGTCGTTCGCTCCGTCGTCGCAGCGAACGCGTAACTTCAAGCGGTTTCAAAGACGACTCTGCGCGAACATTAGAATAATATTACACGATGGCGATTCTTTTGTGGCACTGTGAAGGAAGCTTTATTCTAACGACTGTTCCGTGTTGCTCAACTCGACGAAAAGCTCGTTGATCCTCGGAACTTTGATTCTGATAGTAAGAGAAGAAGCAGCAGTCGCGCTCCAGTTTAATCGAGCGATACGTTTCTGTTTTTCATTTTTTTTTTTATATTTTTTTTTTGGCTAACCGAGTCACGAGATTTCGGGTGAGTGAGCCATGGTTGGTCTTTGCCACAAAGTACGTCCCTGACCGCCCTGCTGCCGCCCCCAGGTTACCCTCAATGACCATCTCCTGCCCCATTGTATTTGCTGTGCTTTCAATAAAAATCTGGTCGCTCGCATAATTGCAGCCTAGCACTCTCTTCTCTTCCGTCTGTTTGTTTGTCGAACTACAATAGACGAAGCTGCAGAAAGAGAGTCGAACCGTGGAACGAACAGTCTTAACTTCTTGCATATACATCATTGATGGAATCTGATTGCAGCTCGACGCTAGATCGTGACTGTTTAGGTAAAGAAACATTTTCTAAATTGCGGTTATTGCGACAAGTAAGATTGTTCGTTCGTCGAAGTGCAAAACTCGGCATGTATTGAATACCAAACGTCGAAAGCGAATTTTAAAAAGCATTATTCGATGCAGCGCGCTGCGTTAATGACACGCTGTCACAGGAAACAGACTATTTTCAGAAATACTCTTTCATTAAAGTCAAAAGAAGTATGACAAGTGGGAGTTGACTTTTGAACGCTCAATTTAGTTATTGTCGTTGCACCAACTTGTTTACATGGAAGAACGATTTCATTCTTTTTTATCGTCGGTAAAAGACTTGGTTGAGCAACAAAGTCGGTGCAAGAAGCATAATCCGTCGAGAACGTGACGCGCTGCATTTCAAATACGCTTCGCTGCCACTACATTATTTCGTTAAGACTGTATTGCTCTGTGTTGAATTTCGAAGCAGCAAGCGACACGTACGACCCCGTTGATTATTGGTTTCACGAAAAAGCCTGGAACGTTCAAGCAGCGCAAAGCGATTCTTGCCAAGCGTTTGGACGTCGATGTTTCTCTGATATGGTTACATTATTGCCACCGTGAATGTGTAGTTCCATCGCGGAATCTCCGGATTTGTTAGTCTAAATCGTTTCCATATGAGATTCGCGTGGAATTCGTAAATGAAAAATTGATCGTTCCGCGTAACATGTTTTGGAAATTATTTACCGGACAGAGAATTAATTCAGCAATTCGACTAACACTTGATCACGCCTGCTCACGGTCCACGCGTGCATTCGTGGTGCAAAAGCGTGCCTGGCTCTCTCATCAATTCGTTTCGGTTCCCTGCCGTCTGTTTCATATTTTACGAAAATCGCTCTTCGAACTTGCAACTCGAGCCGAAATAAATTGTCTACGATTGAGCAACGCAGAAACATGTATGTGTTCTGACTAATCGCTGGAATAATAGCTTGTGCTCGCGGCAATCGTGACTGGGAAACGTACACGCCGATTATACTACGTATTGTCCTCCGGGAACCGAGCGTCCACGAAGGTCTCATCCGTCGTTCGGATACGGTGTGCTTGTAAGAAATTATGCGGTCAGCTTATCACCTAATTAATTCTTATTTAGCCAGGGAACCAGTCGATTCGTCCTGTAGCACCGATAAATTATTTTTCGTTAACCGAACTTCCGGCGAATATTCCGCCAGACGTTTGTTTCATTCTAGTGAAGAACGAGCAAAACGTAATTAGTTCCTCGATTCAAGTCTGTATTTTCTTTGTGCTCTGTCAGAGACTTTTTTTTAGAGCAAACTGTGTGCTTTAAGAAAGACGACTTCCGAAGGGATTTCTGTTATTTCATAATATTCCGACGTTTAATTTCCATACCCGCTGATACTTATAAATAATATCAAAAAGATTTACAACCTGTGGTATAGAATGGCTTCCTCAATGAACAAAAAGTAAAGAATAAAAAAAAAATAAAAGTTTGATACTCACGTTATTTCTGCCAGGCTGAAAATCATGTTGACGTAAGCTAATGTATTTAATCCCTATCTTAGTTGTCCTCATTTGTGAAAATCGTACATAGTACATTATAATAACCGTTCGTGATTAACAGAATCAAATAGAATAAATAAGTAAGAGTAAGAATTTTTAGGATTAGGAACGTTTCGATTATATACTAGAAAATTCATAAGATAAGGAGCGTATGGTTTTCAGCCCTTCGAAACACAGCCAGGTTCCTACTGTGCATGCTTAAGAACCGTGCGCGCGATTCCTTCGAACGAAATCCCGTCGGAAGAACTCGCGACTTCCTTCGGCAGTCGACACGCCGTCGCATTGTCGGGGATGCTCGACGTGTACGTTTCGCTGGGGCAGGCGAGGGCTCTTCCTAGAAAAGTAGAAAGGAAACCCGGGTGCGGCGAGCGTCCCCCTTGGCCCGTCGGGCCATCCCAAACTGTCAGACGGACGGGTCGCTGCCGGGGGCGGAGCCCGTCTTGCTGCCGTCGACACCAGCACCGCCACCGTCGCCGTCGGCGCCTGCACCCTCTCCGCCCCTGTACGGCGAGCCGCCGGTCCCATGCGCCGACAGACCTCGGAAATCCAGGTTGTACTGAAAAAACAGTCACCACAAAAACAGATTAGCATATGCACTTACCCCTCGTTCCTTCGTTTCCTCGGGACCGAGGACGGGGAAATAAATTAGTCCTGGGAAAGGGGTTAAAACGTTGGGCGAGAAATATCTTGTTCTAACTGTAACGCTGTTGTCATTTTAAAAGATGATGCTAACATTTAACGTCTCCTGATGTTACCGGTAAATAGCATTTATGCATTAAGAAACAGCTGATTCGAAAAATAAAAAACGAAGAGATAAATCTGTGTATAATAGTCCGGTTCTGATGTCTGATTCGCATGTTCTTATTCTACTTATTAGTGAACGTCGCTGCACGCTGTCTGACACAATGTCGACTTTAATCTTTAATCGACGGCATCCACAATATTTTATCGACTAATTAGATAAATATATTTCTAATCGACATCAATGCAAAATGATTTTCAGAATAAAACGTATAAATATTCAATTAATTTTTTAATTAATATTTTTACCTCAAAATATTCTCGTTCAACGTATTGATATTCTACTTAATAATTATTCTAATTGTTTTAGTTATAAACACATTAGATGCTTATCGATGAATATTTCATTGTTACATTGTTACATACTCAACAGATATTTTAACCCACTATCAATGGTAAATTAAATTGTTACTCTGACGGTTGGCATCGAGAGAGATTGTGTAGACATGTGTAACCGTTTTATGAAAAGTAAGCATCATTTTTCATTATTCTTCATATAAATTATATTACTTGGCAGAAAAAAAAGATTAATAAATTCTGTTACGAAATACTCTGCCCATTCCTGTAAAGACAGCTGAAAACAGTAAACTAGATAGATTAGCCGTGGATTATGTTGAATATTTTTAATGATGTACCTTTTTTTAGTCGAAGCAAAAGCTGTTTGTAAAGAACCGCAAAAGTGTCTGCAAAAGTACGGTAAGAAAAACCATCCAAGCAGAATTATTACAACAACAAAATTAATAGCTACGCGTAAAATGATTTATGGAAAAAGCGGCAAAAAACGTGAATGCGATTTTCAAACAAAAATGATCCGAAACGATCGATCAAGTCAACATGTTTTTAATCGTATATTATAGAAAATTTCATGGAACTGTTAAAACATGATAAACTTCATTACTTGACGCTTTTAATGATTTAGAAACCGCTGTATAATTTCTTTTTATAAATCTGCAAAACATGTTTGATTCGAATTTCACGGGTTAGACCGAGGACACGATCGCTAATCAATCACCAATGTTTACATGAGGAAGCAACGCGAAAAGCGATAAGAACCCAGGGAAAGAAAAAGAACAAGGGAAAATATAAAATAAAGAAACGAAACCAGAGATGGAAAACGAAAGGTCGAACCTGTGCGAAAGAAAGAACAGTGCAGCGCTTCGTCGTGCGCGTGTATAGCAGCGTGTAGATACGGCTGCCACGCGTGAACACGTGCCACTGTCGCGTCGCGTTGAAAGTGCAACGAAAGTCTGTGTTATCTCGGTAGCGTGGCGTGTCTTAGGTGCTGTAGCTGTGCCTGTTGTAGCTGCAGCTGCAGCATCTGTAGATTCTGCAGGCAATTCGGTGCCTCTGGTCCGCAACCAGACACCGCATTGGAGCTGGAGTACGGGAGGACAGAAGGATGAACAAAGGAGGCGGAATTACGTGAATTGGACGTGGTGCAGGCATTGCTGGTCGGTAGGCTGTTGTAATTGAACATGGGGAAATTTAGGCCGGGAACTCTTAGGATATTGTGTAACTGGGCCGAGGTCAAGGGATGCGGAAGCACGTAGGGACTGGTGGAGGGTAACAACTGTGGGCTAATCGGGTACAAGCAATCCTCTTCGCCCAGGCCAGGCACCGTTGTCGGACTGAGCTCCACGTAATGCGGCATCGTGACATTGTGCTATATTTAACGGATACATGGAAGGATAGACATGTAGAACACTTTAGGCGTGATGCGAGTAGGTACTGCATGGTCCGTGCACCGAGGAGATACTATTAAAGAGTGGCAGTGCCCGTGTAATCAGTGGGATAGCGAATGGGGCCCAATGGGACTCAAAACACAGTCGATGATCGTTCTTTTCTCGCCACTTTTTAGTCATTTCTCCTCGGTGGTCCGTGTGTGCGAATACTCGTCGGAAGTTTCTGAATCTCTTAATAACAGAAACGACTAATGATATACTTTTATTGATATTATATGAGAATTTGATTTCATTCATCAGCAACTGGGCTATAGCACTTTCAATCAGATTTTACTTATACTGTTGACAAATATCCGCACAGAACGAAGTTTTGGCGATTTTATTATTTAAATACATCTATACGTTTATGTAAGAAAACATCCACTAATACAAAGCTAGCTACGATTAAAAAAACGCCGTTCAATCTCTTCTACCTCATTCGCTTGACTGAATCTAAAATACCAATTGCACAAAATACAGATTACTGATTGTAATTTACTCTCTGAAAATATATAAGAACTGAAGATTCTTTCCTGTTTCAAAAACGAAAAATAAAGTGAACTAAACAAAAGACAAAACTCTGATCTTCCACCGAATATTGTATTGTATCTTCGAAGGGGCGATGTGTATAGATAATCCGTGTGTCTTACCTTTGTGGCGCAGACGAAGCACGTGGTGACCACTTTCGAAATCACGTTCATTAAATTTTTAGTCTCTTGTATCACGTTATCGACCTTGGTGAATGTTGCGGCTTTCCCGACGGTGGGGTTTTTCACGGTGAATTGAAGCTGTTGGACGTAAGTCGGTACACGGTCGAGATTCTCCAGTAGATCTTTCTTGTGCGCTCCCCCTGGTACCTGCACCCATGCAACATCGTATACAAACTTACGTCTTAATTCGTGTCGCGAGGCAAACGTGCTCGCGAATTGTTCCCAACGATTGTTAAATTTAAAGAATGTTTTAACTAAAACTATACACGTTCCCAACAGAATCTCTTTTTCTTAGTACAAAAAATAAATCTAATCCAATAATCAAACGTAACTTCGGAGGTTTTATGAAACGTATAAATAAAAATGATATTCTTTCATGTACGTCATACGTCATTTATAATTTTATAATAATATAAATTAAGAACGATTTAATATGAAATTCATTTATTAATTTTCTTTAAAAGTCAAACTTTATTATGTTTTTTTTTTTATGAATGCACTAAAGATAGATTGATGAAATAATTTGAATATGAATTACTTTGATATATCTCGAATCGTTGAAAACTATCAGTCACGTTTGCCCTGCGAGGTCGTTGTAATACATAATGTAGCGTATTCGAATAACTCTTTAAAGCAATGGCTGAGTCTATTCATCGTATATCGACTAGTAATAAATACTTTAAAATACGTATATATTTCGGGTATATTTGTAAAAATCTCTAATAATGTAGACGAAAAAAAATTTATATGTATATAGTTTCTATTCGTCCTAAGTAGAAACACAATGCAAAAGTTTGAACGGAAAAATGTAAGTTGTTTGAGAAGAACACATTAGAGAGTGACTGTGTGAGTGACAGTGAAATAGTACAGACCTTATCGTTTTTGCAAGCTTCACGGTTCTTGTTTCATTTAAACACGTAACTAAGATGAATCTCAAATATGATATTGTATAAATTCTATGTAACTGGAAAATTAACTGCCTACTTTGTTCTTTTGTAAGGAAAGGCATTATGTAGTTTTTCATTACTGTAATTTTCAATCCCGAACAAAAAGAGTCGTATTTAATTTGCATGTATTTCATGGTGAATAGAAATATTTTAAATGCACCCTTTCGGAATGGAAGAAATTTTCATCTTAGCTGTTCTTTTTCCAAATAATTCGTAAGAAATCGGTACCGGAAACTAGCAAAAACTGAGACATAATAGTCATGCCCCAGATAGTGGAAGGAGGGGGACCACAATGCACATAGACGTCGTCCACAGACGGAAGCATTCCCGTAGCATCTAAAACACACCTTACTAATCGTACACAAAAAAGTAGTAAATGTACGTACACAAAATAGATTTACCAACAAAATAATGATCGCAGTCGATTTGATGGTTTGTGAGAACGTGAGAAGAAGATTACGTTTTGCTAAATTTTCAAACGTGAGCCAGGTTCCTGTAAAACTTATATGTACAACTTGTACTACGCGCGTGGCAAAAAGTTCTTGATCGACATATTTGTTTTCAACATGAAATTAAAATTGAGATTTACATAAAATTATCTAAAAGAATATTTAATTTCCTCACTCGTATTCGATGTACTCACATTTACAATGGACGTTTTGCCTTTCTAAGATTTTATCATTTGCCAGCTTCGTATTACGTATTAAGTTTAAACAAAAACTTTTTGTCAGTGGTAGTAAGAGCGGCATTTCTATTAAAATTCTTTTTGTGAAACTATTTACAAAATAGGTCGACTACAGTCTTGACGGATTCGTTAGAAGTACTTTTCTTTTCTTCTAGTTTCGATTTGTGTCCAGCAAATATTACGTTATCATGAGAAGAAAAGAAAAAAGATGGAATTCGGTTAAACTACGTCATTCAAAACAAACACGATTGTCTTCGGGGTGGATTCATACCAGGTGTTACGAATCTTGCATAGCACAGTATATGTCGTGTATACATATCGTGTATCGTGAGAAAAAGAAAGTACGTGATGTAAGAAAGAAAGAGAGAGAAAGAGAAACGGCAACACTTAACAGCAAGAAACTGGTATACAATGAGTTTTTGTAAAAAGAGCGAGAGAGCGATTACTTATGCACGGCAATGAGAACGATCTGTACAAGGCGCGAACGTGTTTCTCTAGTAGCCCAACAAGGGTCTAAAGTAAAGAGAGAAAGAGTTACCTGGATGGAGGCATTCAAAGAGCGAGGGTCAAAAAAAGGGTTTCATAATACAAGAATATATTACAAGGTTAACGTTTCTTTTTTGTTTTTTAATTTCTTTCAAGAAGAATATAGAGAGATCAAAATGGTATCAGGTAACTAGATATATTCGGCCTAGCTAGGAGGGTCGAAAGGGCAGCAAACGTGTTAATTCGAACATGTCTAATGCTAATAAACTCGCGCCAAAGCTACATCCAGCCCGATCGCAGCAAATTCTACTTGTTAATGATAAAAAAAAACATGTTAAAAGACATCCCGAATTTAAGTGAGAGACAAATCCTCTCTTAATTGTAAAGAATCGATTCTGGAATGCACGGATTGGACGTAACTCTTGCGTAGCGATTACGTAAAAACGAAACTGAATAGCGAAATTCAATTAAAAATGTCTCCAATATAGCCAAGATCAAAAAACTCGGAATCAAGTCCAGTATAGAATCCGTAATAATAATAATAATAAACAATGGTAAAAAGAGTATGATTATAAAATAAGGGCGATGTACGTTTATACGTGTACGTATAGGCGTTCCCCGTACATAAACACGTATATACATAGCATCTGAACATCAGTCCAATTAAAAAAAGTGTGTAATCACTTTGCTCTGAATTAAATCTACGAGGTCCTGATAAATGATACGTACCTGATAGCTGAATTGTCTCACAACCTTGTACAATCTGTTCGCCTCCTCGGCGAAATACTCAGCTTGAGTGAACAGATCTTGGGTCGTCTTCAGCGCGCCCTCGCCCCTCGTGAACTGATACATCGAGAACGCCATCGAGGACATGTTCTTGGCGCGTTTCACAATGTCGTTGTTCTCCTCCAGGGCGGTGCCGCTCTCCTGCCACTTCTCCGTCTCGGCGTCCATCTCCGAGGTGATCAGCTTCATCTCTAATCCGGCCTTCGCTATCTTTGCCTGCTCCTCGCTATCCAGCTTCACCGGTTTCAACGGCTTGCTCGTTGTCCCGTGTTTCTGTAAATACGTCCAAGTTCTCAAACTACTAAGAAGAATATTTTACAACATTTAACTCGGCCAAACAGATTAATAGCGATTTAAAATGATAGAAGGATAATGTAAAACTTACTCCTGGTCGTGGCAAGGACATGTAATGTTTCTCTGGCCGGTTCTGGTTCAGCTCGAGCACGTCTTTCGTCATGGTAGTCACATCAGTCATAAGCCATTGCCACATGTCGGCGAACACTGAAGTGCAACAGAATAAAATTGAAATTTTTAAATGAAATAAAGATTACAAGCGAATCGGATATTTATTTGGAGATTTAGATGTAATTAATATACTACAACTGAATTACCTTCCAAATTTTCCTTGGCAATTTTACTGTTAGGGTGTCTGGCTAAAGTATACGCCGCAGTTACCACTTGGGGACCGTATATTCTTAAGTTAATCTCCGTAAACTTCGCTGAAACTTGCAACGATTCCGAGAGCGCAACATGTCTCAACATTTTGCACACCTGTTGGCCGACACGATGAAAGTCATGAATTACTGATCAATGGCATCGCTGTACGATACGTTAGGGAAATATTTTTCGTAAAATGTAGTCTAAACGAAAGATCATGTTTTATTAAAAAATAAATTTTGCATCAGAACTCACTTCGAGGATGTGTTCAATGCATTCGCGAAACTTTTCGTTGCTCTCTTGTAGATGGTATCTGTCGTTGGCCAAAGCGACGTCCCTGATCGTCGAGACAAGTTCCTGGCCCGCTTTGGTTACCTGACCGAGATCTGCCGCTTGTTCCATTGTGGTCGTGCACAGTTGCTGACGAAGATCCCTGGTGGTACGTAACAAACTCAGGACAGCTTGCTCCATTTCGGAACTTGGGGAACCGCCACCACCTTCATAGTTCTGACAGCAGACAACAATAATCGTTTCACCGTTGCCTAATTCTTGTAGAGATTTTCATAAAACTACAGCGCGAAACATTTACAACTTGTTGAACTTCTACCGCAATTTCTTCGTCTACATGCAGTATTATATTACATTCATGTAGATACTTTTAAGATCGGTTTTTAAAGTAGAAAAACATTTTTGTTATAAGTGGCTTATGAGATTTTCCTCCCTTTGAGAGCAAGAATTGTGCATTTGCTTCCCCCTGCCCTATTCACCAGTATAAGCTCTCGTAACCGATTCAGTTTAGCACGGTCATTCATTCAGATTTACGAGGGAATGTCAGGCCTTTCATACGAGAATCTAGCTAATTCGGATCGGATTACCCTTCCAGAAAGAGACGTTAATCCCGTAACTACTGTATGAAATTTTTTACGTCAATTCTTTCTTTAACCATTGACAAATTCGTTAGTTCGAATTTTTACGAATTCGGACGAAGCGTTTTATTCGAAGAAGAGAGACATATAAAAATAAGATAAAAATATGTTTCTTACCATGCTATTGCCAATTCTTAGCAGGGTATTTAGTTCGAGTTCCAACCGATCGCAGAGCAAAAGGATATTTTCTCTGTGCTCGTGGCTGGTGTACGCGCTGTCGGTGAAATCTTGCGTTCTCTCGATGACGGTATCTAACGCGGCCGTGAGTGTTTCTCGGCATCCAGGTCCTAGGAGAGTCATTCTTGTGGTTTCCACTAGCCTCTCGAAGTGCTTCAGTGCGGAGAAAGCTGTGCTGCTGTCCCAATCTTCCTGCTGGGGGCTCTGAAATATTTAACGACTGTATCCGCGCGAGTTCTACACCGAAACTCACTCTTCACTTAAACAAAAGAGAGGAACTGAGATCGAATATGAAGTTCACTTTAAAAAATTCATTATTAACTTTATCAACATATCCATTGACCTACGCGTTATTGTTAGTACAGTATTTTATACTAGCGTTTAATGCTTCCTCGTTGAGGGCACTTCCTTTCAGAAAAAACACTCGACGCTCAATTGTGCATGGAAAAAACAGTAGATTACGTCTACAAAGGAGCACGATCTATAAATACTTGCACTAAGGTCAGCATAGATATTTGTAGTGGAAGACACGGCAGTAAACCCGAGGATAGAGCGCGTTCGACTATGCAATATCCCGGTGGTGACGGCGTCGATTAACTATACGTTCTTCTAGATGGCAATTACTCGCACGAGATCCTTGAACGTGACCGAGCACCACGAACCGCAATTCTCTCCACAAAGTTTCTCGATTATCGTTCAATCTGCACGCTATAAATTTTTCATTGGTACCCACTTTACACTTTTACTCGCCCTCAGCTCAGGATCTTTCCCTGATATAATTCAGTTCCTTCGCGAGAACCGATTAAACTATGCCAAGATTAACACTGAAACGTGACTTTCAAATATCTATCCGTATTCCAGGGATCTTTATCAGCAGAGCTCTTAATAGACAACAAATTTCCCGATCGACTGTTAAATACGCAATTTAATCATTGACCGATAATTAAATATTTCAACTGCAGTCGCTAGTGGCTAATTGAATTACCTATCACGTATCCCAACGCGAACGTGCCGCTCGAGGAACTGAACTAAATTCATTGACCGTTCAATGTCCGTTTAAGTAAATAAATTCCGACTGCCTTAATTGATCGTTATTCCCACGGTGTGAATGAAATTTGGCCGCGCTCCCGGGATATACCTGGCAAGAAATTGAAATGAAGCACTAATGCGGCAACCCGTATACTACTTTGGCACGTGATGGAGAATGCGCTGCTACGTTTACGACATCCATTTCGGCGTCGTTCGCTATGCGAACGCTTTCATCCGTGGTACGATATCAATTTGCATCGCTGTCAATGCACCGTGTCCATTCCGTAGCGAAGATATTTCTTCGACTTCGAAAATACTCGACGCTCTAACGCGAGAGTGTACTCATCTTCGACAATATCTATGGCATCGAAACGTCGCGTACCGAACGTATACAGGCGAGGAATATTTGTAGTCTTATTTGGTCTTATTCCATCTCGTGGAAGAACCATTTCCAATATTATGCGACTGTTTCGCTAAATGTATTTCTTTATATTTTTAATAAAAATTATGTAGGATTATTCCCTGTATTGTATTTAAAGTTAGATACGCGGAAATGTATTGCGTGTCTGACTATATACGGGTTTTTCTACTTGCTTCACGTAGAATTTGTTTCGACTAATTGTAAATCTTACATGTGATATAAGATCATGTGAAATGATATCATTTCTGTTTAATTTCAGTTTATTACTAAGTAGATTCAAGATTTTGTTGATCTCCGGGAAATTATTCAAATGGTCAGGAATTTAAGTTTATAAATTATTTCATGCATTCTTAAAATATCTGTCGGCGCCATTGGTAAATGGTCAAGGTCGTGAAAATTTTACTACATCGTGCATTATCGTTTAATCGCGAGTCAGAATTTGGCAAACGAAAGGCTCTTTGGATTGAGTCCAACGTTGCGAATGGTATTTCATTGTAAATGTTTTCCTCGCGTCAACGCAATATTGTTTCCGCGAAATGTATATTCAGGTTTATAGACGATGTACAAACAAAGAGACGCCAAAATTTCATGAATACATAATTGAGAGGGAAGAAGTTCCTGTTGATGAAACCGTTTGCATAATCTTACACCACAAAGACGCGTCCCATGCATTTTTATTAAAATGTAAATATCATATATCATACGATTTAGATAAAAACTGTATTCGCGTATTTTTATCCTTTAAAGAATTTTGAATTGATGCTCAAATTACTTACTTGAGAGTTGGACTGTGATTCGCTGCAGTCCAACACACCATCCTTGACCACATAATGTATCAAGTCCATCGCTCTTCTCATCTGGCAGAATACGGTGTCCCTGTTTTCTCTAGCAGACGGACATTCCGGATGCCTCAGGCAGGTTTTACTAGACGTGAGCAGCATCATGGTGCTCCTCTCCAAAACTTGGCGAGCCGCGGCCATTTGTGCTCTCCGTCGCTCGTCTTTCAAGTCATTCTGAAATTCAGAGTCGTATCCTCCATTCATTCTTACTTCACGTGTTGCTGTACATTTGGCATTGTCAACTACCTGACACGTAGTTTCTTCTCAAACCAAAATTACCCATTAATTCTATGCTCAAGAAGAATAAATCTTTACTTTAAAAGAAATCTCGCTTTCAGCCTTTAAATCTAGACTTTCTAGGGTTTAAGTAAATAGGGCGTAACTACTTTCTTAAATGATTTTATTACGTTTTATTTTAAGCGCATTGATTCTAAATAAGACCGGTATTGTTCGTTTTAATCACATCTGCACCTGGCTTAATGAGCGGGCGGCATAGATTGTTTCTGTTTCGATTGTTTCATCGGGTATTCTACATTCTGTACTAAGGAGGGGGAGAGAGAGAGAGAGAGAGATAGAGAGAGAATGGGAATAAGCAAAATAATGAAAGCTATTTTCAGAACACTAATTACAAAGCTGTCAGACACACGACTCGTGGTATATCAGACTAAATGAGGATTAATATACTCGAGTAAATAAACATATCATGAATGCAACTTGTTGATTAATATTATCTGCGTATTTTAAGATTAACAAGCTCCTTTCCGTGTTTGATTAAAAATATACATAATTATCATCGAGCACGTCGAACGAAGCGTCATTAAAGGAATAATAAAAACACGATATCCTGTTCCACAGTACGCACGTTGAACGTGCGATAATACCATAATTAAATCCATTAAAGCGGGTAATTGGTATTAACGAGTTTGTAATAGCAACATCAATATGGGTCACTTAGCTTCCATCAATTTCAGTTTAATGCGATTGCGATATAATGTAAGTTGACGAGACACAGTTACGGACAAAGGAATTACTGTTATCTTTAATGATAAGGATAGAAAAGGAAGATAAAAAATATTGTTCATTTATTGTACTTACTTGGCGATCACCCGTCAAATGTGCCAACTCCACCATTTCCGCCCCGAACTGGCTGAATGCCTTGACGAACTCGGTGAAGTTCGAGACACTCTCGAGACGGCCGAGGCTACGAGCCACCTTCTTTTTCGCGAGAAGAAGCTGTTTGACAACGACGATGTCAGCGAGCAGGAGGACCTTCGTCACGGAGCCGAGAAGACGTCTCGCGGCTCTCACGACGGAGCCCCGGTCGGCCAGGCTATCCTCCCTCGCGTATTCGCATAATTTCTCGATCGCCGAGCCTGCAACAGAATTAGTAACCCATAATTAACGTTACCTCTCGAAATCAAATTTCCGCGGACGTTTATTGCCGGCGAAAAGGGACTCGCACAAAATTGCAAGTAACTATGCGTAATTAGATGCTCGTTCCACTTCCTCTCATCATTCCCTAATTGATAAAATTGCTTAAATGAAACCGACCGACGGTAGTGTCCTAACCACGCTTCTCCTAATTACAAACGCGAAATTAGTTCTGCAGTTTAAGTAATTTCCCCGCTAATTTATAATTAAACTCATCAGACGGCAAAGAATTAAAAAATTCTGTTCTTATTTTCTAGTTTAATGTCAAATCGTTTTAATGTTTGCGTGATATAATGTGACGAGATAAGATTAATCACTGCCTTCTGTAACTAAATAGTTTCAATGTTTCGTCAGGCGAATTAATATCTGATATTTTTAATGAAGTCACGTCAAGTGGAAGGTTATGAGGATTACGTTCTGAGCGTCGATAAAATTATATGCAATGTGTGGTATGCAAATCAATTCCACACGTGTACACCCAAATGTGTATTACAATTCCCCTTCGTTCGGCTGTTACTGCTGCACCGCCAACAATATCATAGTCCCTAGGCAATCGAATTTCCTTTCGTCCCAGCCGATGAATATTTATTATCTTTTGAAACGCGTTCAACGTGTGAAAAAAAATATTGATTGCACTCGCTTTGGCTCGGTTTTTTCATCGAAAAGACAAGCCGAGTTGCCATTCCAATTAAAAACTGGAACCTTGGCTGTTTAATTGATAGATTGTTCAAAGAATCACGCATATAATTCGTCAGTGCTTCGGCAAAAAGTTTTACAATGGGAAGAGTCGGGATACTCAGATTTTAATTAATGAAAGCACCGATGTTGTGCAATTTTACGAAACACGGTAAACACTTCTTTTTTTTTTTTTTAGCGAGCTACGAGGTTTCCTAATTTAAGCTGAAATTGTATCACCTCGTCGCTGCCTAATTTTACGTCGCCATTTCCGTGCTCTCTAATTAATCTCATAAAAAACTTAATCATAGCTGTAGGATCGTTCAACTGCTTCAACATTAATCGCTGTTAATTTATGAATCGTAAACTTCTCGTTTCCCTTAATCACTATGCAAATCACTTAAATCACTTTTTGGTCTTTTCGCGTTCCATTATCTCTTACACGATAATTAAAACTTTAACTATCCATTTTTTAAGTAGAGTACATATTTTAGATACAGTTTCAGTTTATCAGTGAAGGATAAATTTATTTTCCCTAAAATGATTTTTATCTCTTAAACCAGTTGTTGTGGAATTGCATATAATTTACAGATGTTGACGTGGTCTCCATATTTTACATTAAAGTTGCGTCCTAGTCAGATTCGTTACACAAGGTTCAACTTTTACGATAAATAAAGCTGAAAGTCATCCATAGAACATGGGACGGCCATAAATCCTCCGATTTCGATCTCGGATATACCCCAATTTAAAGAATCACGAATCCTGGGATCCCCTTTATGACTTTCCATATCAAGTTATTTTCTTTATTTTTTATTTGTCATCCGTAGGCGCTCTTCGCTTTTTTCATTTCATCATACGATAAATCGAAAAGTACTACAGATTTGCTTTAACAGATTATATGACTAATATTCGAGTCGATCTATTTTGTTCGATTGTCAGAGTTATTGTCTTTGAATATTTTTATACGTAAACAAATATTAAAAATTGTTGAAAGAACTGTAATTATTCCTTTTTTAGTAAATAGTCAGTAAATACTTTAATACTTTACTGTGATTATAATGTGTACCATATGTGCATGTATTATTACATTATTTACATGTAATTGTATTTTATAACGTATTGGAGCTTGGTAATTCATTATATAAACGTAAATGTAATGTTTGATGATTCCCGGCGTGAAATTATTACCAGACGGATGACGCAGCCTGGAAGGGATGACTCCGCGTAACGTAATCAGTTCAGCTGCCTTGATAGCGAAACCTTACGATGCTTTATGCAGATTGAGTATCAAGTACGCCATGCAATTCCCCTTGACCCAATTCAACAATCGGCCGAGTGCATTGCTTTGTCCTAATTCGATGTTATCTGCGAATACTATTGTTTTATCCGACTGCTAATCTGATGAATAATCATCTTTAAGGAAAGTAAAAGCTTGCATGCTGCCAGCGAACGTTTCTCATTTACGATATCTCTTGCCATTCTCCGGTACTGGTAAAATTTTTAGTAAATCTAATTTGAATTTTAACATGCCTTCTTATTTAATTATACGAAGCTTCGTAAAACAGTAGGACATTTTTTATAACTAGGCTACGAATTTTTATTGTACATAAAAATCTGCGGTGTCTGACAAATAGCTCGTGAATTTCTTTTCATAGTAATATTGTGACAATGGTACAGATTTTTTAAATACTCTGCTATAAAACGGGGAGATACACCGTGAATCGTTTCTGTACATTATTCACGACGCGCATATGGCATATCTCGACATGCTCTCAATATCATTCATGGAAAAGTTCTCGTACACTCGTAATATTTGAAGAACTCGTTCGAGTTTACCTCTTCAGCTTAAGCGAACTGCTTCCCCTGACTTCGTATTTCGATACCGTGCGATGCGTCGATCGCAATTCGCAAGATTAACCAGGGAGAATAGACATCCAGGAAAGTAGCTCTCAGACGGGCAACCACCGCGTAGTCGGAGTGGAAAAAAGTGTGTAGGTAATCAAACTAGTTCAAACATTTCTTTATGTTTAATCCCTTGTAATGTAGAAAAGTGGAAGAGGAAAGTTCCAGTGAATTTTTAAGTGAAGTTTAAAAGTAGTTAGTCGTTCTAAAATTTGCAACATGTACTGTCATGTTATATAAATTAATAAGCAGTGCTCGTACGCAAAACGTTAAATTCGATGGCAACTTTTAATATGCCTCTGACAGTTCCCAGTAGTTTCTAATTTTAACTCTAAATGATCCGTCGTTGGACAACTGGAAATGAACATTTTTCGACCAGATTATTTGCCGTATCGTTTCGTGCGAGTCCGAGTGCGCGGGATTACAGATATCACGGCATGGCACCGCACTGCGTATAACCCAGTTCACGGATTGGTAGTTTGGCACCATTGATCCTTTGTCACGACGATGAACGCCGGGCTATGTATGTATATATAAATCTATGCTCGATTTTTACGGATCTACGGTAATAAATCTGGCACCGATACTGACGAAAACGAGCTGTCTAGCCGGACGAGCTAGATTACCACTGCGTTGACAGGTGTTGAAACCAAAATAAAACGGTGCTTCATCCAGATCTACTCCGTGTGTATTATATACTATGTCGTTTTTATGTCAAACCAAGATTAAACAACTCTTTTCCTAAACGCACTGCGCATTCGTACATATTTTCCTGAACGAAGATCGTTTAAACAATTGTACTTTCTTAAATATTTTCACTCGCTTTGAGTCTGCGAGGATGGTCATCAATTGAAAACAAATTTTGTAATTAGTTTGACGATAAAATATGAGACAGGGAACTGCTCATAAATCTCACCAGTTGGACGCAATAATTAGAGGGAAGAATAAATCGCGCGTACATACCGTAAGTCATTATCTCGTCTGTGTTAACCGGAACACGAAACGCTGGGCACATGCATAAAAAATGAACTCTCGGAGTAATCACGTTGGCTGACGTATCGGCTTATTCAGCCGCAGATCTATTGGGTGTACGTGGAATATTAGCTCGGAGCTACATCGACGTTCTCGATCGATGGAAGTACGTTAACGTCCCTTCCGGCTATCTGATTAATCCTTTGAGAACGTGTGTCACATACGTACACCGCGTACGTGTGTATGCTGCAATATGAAATGAAACGGGCTGCCAATCGAGTTTACGTCATACACGTGCCTCCAATATGCAATGATTCAAGTTCGCGAAGATTCACCTCGCATACGAAATGAATAGAATATCCCATGATAATAAAATCGATAAGAAATTTTCTGCCTTGTATAAATGATGATTTACAGATCACTGAGGATAACATTAATGTTCGAATCAAATTTGTTGACTTCGCTAAATATTTATTTAGCCGAATCAATATGCCGAATCAATATGCCGAATCAATATGCCGAGATTTAAAACCATGCGAAAAATCATGCGTACGAACAAATGTAATTTGCGCGCAGACTATGAATTATGAAGGGAAATATTGAAATTATATTTATTAAGCAAGTTTCCATCTTCTCGCGTACGGATATAACAAAGTGCGCCGAAAACAATGCACACGGCCTGGTTCTTCAATAGAAAACGTTTGGGGGGAGGGTTAATAAATGTTTTGCACGTTGACTTGACCCGATCTTAAAAGGTAGTTCGGATAAAAATAGCAGAGTGCCGTCTATCGTAAGGGTACACAGACTGTGGAAGAAGTTACCGTTCGCCGTTGATCGATGCAGTTATTAGTGGACGTCGACACAGCAGCCGGGGCGATCCCTCGAAAGCCGGCCGAAATTGGAGCTTCCGAATCTCTAACATTACATGTTCGACTCATCCCTACCCATTTCGAATTATTCACTTATTTAGAATATATATTAAATTATTCAAGCATTTCGAGCATTTTAAATCAAATTATTGGTTCAATTGATTGGTTCAAATATTTTAAAAATCTTTTCAGGAGTGGAAAAAAGTGTGTAGGTAATCAAACTAGTTCAAACATTTCTTTATGTTTAATCCCTTGTAATGTAGAAAAGTGGAAGAGGAAAGTTCCAGTGAATTTTTAAGTGAAGTTTAAAAGTAGTTAGTCGTTCTAAAATTTGCAACATGTACTGTCATGTTATATAAATTAATAAGCAGTGCTCGTACGCAAAACGTTAAATTCGATGGCAACTTTTAATATGCCTCTGACAGTTCCCAGTAGTTTCTAATTTTAACTCTAAATGATCCGTCGTTGGACAACTGGAAATGAACATTTTTCGACCAGATTATTTGCCGTATCGTTTCGTGCGA